CATTTTTTTTTTAATTTAATATCAACAGTTCCTCAGATTTGGAAATTGCTTCAACTGTTTTTCAAAATAGTATTGCCAAAAATCTACCATTGTTCACACCCACAATACTTTTGAAACTAAACTGTTTTTCTATTATTCATCATTTTTGAAAATGCAATTGTAGTCAGCCTACTTGACGCTATTTATTTGGAATGTACTGACATCCATTATATCACGCATTCACCATTTTTTAGAATCGGGCAATATGAACAGGTTTTCAAATTGTATTGACCTGCATTGAGGCCACATTCACTTTATTTCAAAGCCTTATTGCCAGACATGGGATACATTCACCATTTTTTTAATTGGATATCATCGGTTCCTTAGATTTGGAAATTGCATCAACCGTTTTTCAAATAGTGTTGCTAAAAATCCGCAATACTTTTGAAACTAAACTGTTTTTCTTCTATTCATCATTTTTCAAAATGAAATTGTAGAGTCAACCTACTTGACGCCACTTATTTGAAATCGACCGACATCCATTATACCAAGCATTCACCATTTTTTAAATCGGGCGACATAAATAAGTTAGACCTCGCATTCGCCATTTGTTTAATTTGTTTGTCGACATATTCACATTGAGACCGCATTCACCTTTTTTCAAAGCCTGGTTGTCAAACGTAAAATACATCCACCATTTTTTTTAATTAATATCAACAGCTCCTCAGATTTGGAAATTGCATCAACTGTTTTTCAAAATAGTATTGCCAAAAATCTACTGTTGTCCACATCCAAAATACTTTTAAAATTAAACTGTTTTTCTTTTATTCATCATTTTTCAAAATGAAATTGTAGAGTCAGCCTACTTGACGCCATTTATTTGGAATGTCCTGAGATCCATTATGTCACGCATTCACCTTTTTTTTCAATTGGGCGATATGAACAAGTTTTAAAATTGTATTGACCCACATTGAGGCCGCATTCACCTCATTTCAAAGCCTTATTGCCAGACATGGGATACATTCACCATTTTTTAAATTGGATATCAGTTCCTTAGATTTGGAAATTGCATCAACCGTTTTTCAAAATAGTGTTGCTAAAAATCCGCAATACTTTTGAAACTAAACTGTTTTTCTTCTATTCATCATTTTTCAAAATGAAATTGTTGAGACAACCTACTTGACGCCATTTATTTGAAATGGATCGACATCCATTATAACACGCATTCACCATTTTTTTTAAATTGGGCGATATGAACAAGTTTTAAAATTGTATTGACCCACATTGAGACCGCAGTTACCTCATTTCAAAGCCTTATTGCCAGACATGGGATACATTCACCATTTTTTAAATTGGATATCATCGGTTCCTTAGATTTGGAAATTGCATCAACCGTTTTTCAAAATAGTGTTGCTAAAAATCCCCAATACTTATGAAACTAAACTGTTTTTCTTCTATTCATCATTTTTCAAAATGAAATTGTAGAGTCAGACTATTTGACGCCATTTATTTGGAATCCATTATATCACGCGTTCACCATTTTTTGAAATTGGACAATATGAACAAGATTTCAAATTGTATTGACCTACATTGAGGCCGCATTCACCTCATTTCAAAGCCTTATTGCCAGACATGGGATACATTCACCATTTTTTAAATTGGATATCATCAGTTCCTTAGATTTGGAAATTGCAGCAACCATTTTTCAAAATAGTGTTGCTAAAAATCCGCAATACTTTTGAAACTAAACTGTTTTTCTACTATTCATCATTTTTCAAAATGAAATTGTAGAGTCAGACTATTTGACGCCATTTATTTGGAATACATTATATCACGCGTTCACCATTTTTTGAAATTGGACAATATGAACAAGATTTCAAATTGTATTGACCTACATTGAGGCCGCATTCACCTCATTTCAAAGCCTTATTGCCAGACATGGGATACATTCACCATTTTTTAAATTGGATATCATCAGTTCCTTAGATTTGGAAATTGCAGCAACCATTTTTCAAAATAGTGTTGCTAAAAATCCGCAATACTTTCGAAACTAAACTGTTTTTCTACTATTCATCATTTTTCAAAATGAAATTGTAGAGTCAGCCTACTTGACGCCATTTATTTGGAATGGACCGACATTCATTATATCACGCATTCACCATTTTTTTAAATTGGGCAATATGAACAAGTTTTCAATGACCTACATTGAGGCCGCATCCACCTCATTTCAAAGCCTTTTTGTCAGACATGGGATACATTCACCATTTTTAAATTGGATATCAGTTCCTTAGATTTGGAAATTGCACCTTTTTCAAAATAGTGTTGCTAAAAATCCGCAATACTTTTGAAGCTAAACTATTTTTCTTCTATTCATCATTTTTCAAAATGAAATTGTAGGGTCAACCTACTTGACCATGTATTTGAAATGGATCGACATCCATCATAAATTATATCATGCATTCACTATTTTTTTTTAAATTGGGCGATATGAGTTAGACGTCGCATTCACCATTTTTTACATTATATTGTCGGCATACTTTTAAATTGCATCAGCTGTTTTACAAAATAGTATTGCCAAAAATCTACTGTTGTTCACATCCACAATACTTTTGAAATTGAACTGTTTTTCTTCTATTCATCATTTTTCAAAATGAAGTTGTTGAGTCCACCTGCTTGACGCCATTTATTTGAAATGGACCGACATCCATTATATCACGCATTCACCAAGTTTTCAAATCGTATTGACCTACATTGAGGCCGCATCCACCTCATTTCAAAGCCTTATTGCCAGACATGGGATACATTCACCATTTTTTAAATTGGATATCATCAGTTCCTTAGATTTGGAAATTGCATCAACCGTTTTTCAAAATAGTGTTGCTAAAACTCCACAATACCTTTGAAACTAAACTGTTTTTCTTCTATTTATCATTTTTCAAAATGAAATTGTAGAATCAACTTGCTTGACGCCATTTATTTGAAATGGACCGACATCCATTATACCATGCATTCACCATTTTTTTAAATCTGTGATATAAATAAGTTAGACCTCGCATTCGCCATTTGTTTAATTGGTTTGTCGCCATATTCACATTGAGACCGCATTCACCTTATTTCAAAGCCTGATTGTCAGACGTAAAATACATCCACCATTTTTTTTTTAATTTAATATCAACAGTTCCTCAGATTTGGAAATTGCTTCAACTGTTTTTCAAAATAGTATTGCCAAAAATCTACCATTGTTCACACCCACAATACTTTTGAAACTAAACTGTTTTTCTATTATTCATCATTTTTGAAAATGCAATTGTAGTCAGCCTACTTGACGCTATTTATTTGGAATGTACTGACATCCATTATATCACGCATTCACCATTTTTTAGAATCGGGCAATATGAACAGGTTTTCAAATTGTATTGACCTGCATTGAGGCCACATTCACTTTATTTCAAAGCCTTATTGCCAGACATGGGATACATTCACCATTTTTTTAATTGGATATCATCGGTTCCTTAGATTTGGAAATTGCATCAACCGTTTTTCAAATAGTGTTGCTAAAAATCCGCAATACTTTTGAAACTAAACTGTTTTTCTTCTATTCATCATTTTTCAAAATGAAATTGTAGAGTCAACCTACTTGACGCCACTTATTTGAAATCGACCGACATCCATTATACCAAGCATTCACCATTTTTTAAATCGGGCGACATAAATAAGTTAGACCTCGCATTCGCCATTTGTTTAATTTGTTTGTCGACATATTCACATTGAGACCGCATTCACCTTTTTTCAAAGCCTGGTTGTCAAACGTAAAATACATCCACCATTTTTTTAAATTAATATCAACAGCTCCTCAGATTTGGAAATTGCATCAACTGTTTTTCAAAATAGTATTGCCAAAAATCTACTGTTGTCCACATCCAAAATACTTTTAAAATTAAACTGTTTTTCTTTTATTCATCATTTTTCAAAATGAAATTGTAGAGTCAGCCTACTTGACGCCATTTATTTGGAATGTCCTGAGATCCATTATGTCACGCATTCACCTTTTTTTTCAATTGGGCGATATGAACAAGTTTTAAAATTGTATTGACCCACATTGAGGCCGCATTCACCTCATTTCAAAGCCTTATTGCCAGACATGGGATACATTCACCATTTTTTAAATTGGATATCAGTTCCTTAGATTTGGAAATTGCATCAACCGTTTTTCAAAATAGTGTTGCTAAAAATCCGCAATACTTTTGAAACTAAACTGTTTTTCTTCTATTCATCATTTTTCAAAATGAAATTGTTGAGACAACCTACTTGACGCCATTTATTTGAAATGGATCGACATCCATTATAACACGCATTCACCATTTTTTTAAATTGGGCAATATGAACAAGTTTTCAAATTGTGTTGACCTACATTGAGACCGCATTCACCTCATTTCAAAGCCTTATTGCCAGACATGGGATACATTCACCATTTTTTAATTGGATATCATCAGTTCCTTAGATTTGGAAATTGCATCAACCGTTTTTCAAAATAGTGTTGCTAAAAATCCGCAATACTTTTGAAACTAAACTGGTTTTCTTCTATTCATCATTTTTCGAAATGAAATTGTAGAGTCAACCTACTTGACGCCACTTATTTGAAATGGGCCGACATCCAGTTTATCATGCATTCACCATTTTTTGAAATCGGTCGATATAAATAAGTTAGACGTCACATTCACCATTTGTTTAAATGGTTTGTCGGTATATGTACATTGAGGACGCATTCACTTTTTTCAAAGCCTGTTCGTCAAACTTAAAATACATCCACCATTTTTTTTAATTTAATATCAACAGTTCCTCAAATTTGGAAATTGCATCAACTATTTTTCAAAATAGTATTGCCAAAAATCTACTGTTTCAAAATGAAATTGTCGGCAACGAATGATGACATCATCTTAGATAGTCTTTAAGGATCCCCTAATCCAATGAAAGGATCTTAATGTTTAGTCAGTCGCACGTTATCAAACATTCTTTTCCAGTGATGCCCAAGTCTCTGACACTATTCGCCAATGGCTACGAATGCCTACCTTCGATGCTCGACCTTGGGAGGATGAAGAGCTGCTGCTCCTCCTTCAGCAGATGTACCTGGATCACGACTTCTGCTCCAAGTTCGCCATCGATATCCAGACTTTGAGGAACTTCCTATATGAGGCCTACAAGAACTACAACGACGTACCCTTCCACAACTTCCGGCACTGCTTCTGTGTCGCACAAATGGTAAGTTTTGCTGGAATTCCGATAAGGTATTTTCCTATTGCTTGGACTGACCGTTAAATATTATTATTGCTGAAATCCGCTCTAAAGAGGCTAGAAAAGTTCGTAAATAATACAAATAGTAAATGCCATTAGGTAAAAGACCCTCGAGGCATTTACGTTTACCATTTTCTTTATTGGGAGTTGTCAGGAAAAATTAAATTCCCTTTGAAGGAGAAATCGATTCGATTAAAATCAGCAAACACTAATTCCTACCTCCCCTTATGATATTGTCAATTATGGAAAATAATCACCAACAGCGCGCTGTTTCTCCATGCACGCAAAGAGAATATTCATTATTTTTAATAAGGATTATTAGCAGCTTTTACGAGGAAATACTCGTCAATAACACGCGTTCAGCCTTTGTTTAAATTTAATCTAGTGAGGACGAAATCACAGTGGCTTGTTTCAGTAAATATGATTAGATTCATTAGCTTATTTAACCTTTGTCATAGCTTTTTATATGTTCATAGTATACGGAAAATTTATTTAAATACAAGACTGTTTTGAGCTAACTGTTTTTCTGCGAAAGAACTTATCCTGAACCTATCATGAAGTCAGCAAACGCGACTACGAAATAACCAAATCACAAGCTCACCTCTTCGAGAGTGCATACATTACCAACTAATTAATTCTCAAACGTGTTTATCATGAACATAAATCTTACATGCCCTTCACCTCATGAAAGCTGAACTTTGAGCGACAAGCACAGGACGCCTTTGTCATCTTCCTGTCAAACTCTCAGCTTAGTTTAATATGCTGTTTCACTTTTGGCTGCGAGTTTTATTCAAATCGAGCTAAGTCTGGCTGCTAGAATTGGATATGCTTAAAGTCAAGGTTGGATCTACGTGGGTGGCTATACGATTGCCTGGAGAGACAAACAGAATAGAGATATTATTCTAAAAATAATATTTCAGTTGCAGGATTCAACTAGGTAGCTGCAATTTTGCACGGTTATAATAAGCAGTCTTCTACAGTTACAGTAATGATAATAATAAGCAACATAGAAGCTGGTGAAGCGAATTACTTATTGTATTACCTTGAAACTCATTTGAATTTATACGCTTATCGCTTCTAAACACTATTCAAACTTCAAGGACTCTCTTTATTCTAAAGAGTGTCAGACTCAAGACACTTCAAGTAAAAGTCCGACACTTGTCTGGGTTCAAGGGGAATGACATCACATTTTATTGTATTCGTGCCTACATATAGCTACTTGCAACTTGGAGATGACAAGTATAGCTAATTGTAACTTGTAAATAGCAATTATAGCTAATTCCAACTTGTAAATGGCAACTATAGCTAATTGCAACTTGTAATTAGCAATTATAGCTAATTGCAGCTTGTACCTGACAATTATAGCTAATTGCAACTGTAACTGACAATTATACCTGATTGCAACTTGTAAATGGCAATTATAGCTAATTACATCTTGTAAAGGACAATTATAACCAATTACAACCTGTTAATGACAGTTATAGCTAATTGCAACTTGTAGTTGACAAGTATAGCTAAGTGTAACTTCTAAATGACAATTATAGCTAATTGCAACTGTAAATGACAATTATAGCTAATTGCAACTGTAATTGACAATTATAGCTAATTGCAACTTGATCTGACAATTATAGCTAATTGCAACTGTAACCGAAAATTATAGCTAATTGCAACTGTAACTGACAATTATAGCTAATTGCAACCTGTAAATGGCCATTATAGTTAATTACAACTTGTACCTGACAATTATAGCTAATTGCGACTTGTAATTAACAATTATAGCTAATTGCAGCTTGTACCTGACAATTATAGCTATTGCAACTGTAACTGGCAATTATACCTGATTGCAACTTGTAAATGGCAATTATAGGTAATTACATCTTGTAAAGGACAATTATAGCCAATTACAACCTGTTAATGACAGTTATAGCTAATTGCAACTTGTAGTTGACAAGTATAGCTAACTGTAACTTGTAAATGACAATTATAGCTAATTGCAACTGTAAATGACAATTATATCTAGTTGCAACTGTAATTGACAATGATAGCTAATTGCAACTTGATATGACAATTATAGCTAATTGCAACTGTAACCTAGAATTATAGCTAACTGTAACTGACAATTATAGCTGATTGCAACTTGTAAATGGCAATTATAGCTAACTGCATCTTAGTAAAGGACAATTATAGCCAATTACAACCTGTAAATGACAGTTATAGCTAATTGCAACTTGTAGCTTGCAATTATAGCTAATTGCAACTGTAATTGACAATTATAGCTAATTGCAACTTGATCTGACAATTATAGCTAATTGCAACTATAACCGAGAATTATAGCTAATTGCAACTGTAACTGACAATTATAGCTAATTGCAACCTGTAAATGGCCATTATAGCTAATTACAACTTGTACCTGACAATTATAGCTGATTGCAACTTGTAAATGGCAATTATAGCTAATTGCATCTTGTAAAGGACAATTATAGCCAATTACAACCTGTAAATGACAGTTATAGCTAATTGCAACTTGTAGCTTGCAATTCTAGCTAACTGCAACTGTCACGGAGAATTATGGCTAATTGAAACTTGTAAATGACAATTATAGCTAATTGCAACTTGATCTGACAATTATAGCTAATTGCAACTATAACCGAGAATTATAGCTAATTGCAACTGTAACTGACAATTATAGCTAATTGCAACCTGTAAATGGCCATTATAGCTAATTACAACTTGTACCTGACAATTATAGCTGATTGCAACTTGTAAATGGCAATTATAGCTAATTGCATCTTGTAAAGGACAATTATAGCCAATTACAACCTGTAAATGACAGTTATAGCTAATTGCAACTTGTAGCTTGCAATTCTAGCTAACTGCAACTGTCACGGAGAATTATGGCTAATTGCAACTGTAATTGACAATTATAGCTAATTGCAACTTGATCTGACAATTATAGCTAATTGCAACTATAACCGAGAATTATAGCTAATTGCAACTGTAACTGACAATTATAGCTAATTGCAACCTGTAAATGGCCATTATAGCTAATTACAACTTGTACCTGACAATTATAGCTGATTGCAACTTGTAAATGGCAATTATAGCTAATTGCATCTTGTAAAGGACAATTATAGCCAATTACAACCTGTAAATGACAGTTATAGCTAATTGCAACTTGTAGCTTGCAATTCTAGCTAACTGCAACTGTCACGGAGAATTATGGCTAATTGAAACTTGTAAATGACAATTATAGCTAATTGCATCTTTTCATTCTGGAGAGTGTCAGACTCAAGACACTTCAAGTAAGTCTGTCTGGGGTTAAGTGCATTTTATTGTATTTCTACCTACATATTCGAACAGATTTACATGTGCTTCTACTAAAACCGTTTTTGTCTAAGTGCCCCTATGTGACGTTTTACCGTTTATGATTTCGGCAATCGTTCGAGTCGCTTATAGATATGAGTATTTTCTTATTTATGAAGCTCGTAGTGTGGCAGTATAAATATATATCATCTGAAACAAGATGACAAAGGCTTCAATAGACGAATAATCGTCTATATAATATTTATGCCACAAATTTGAGACTTATCAAAAACAATTAAATATATTGTAAGATGGTATAAGTAAAATGTGTTTAGGATAAATAAAATTTAACAATATATTTAAAATTAGTAAGTGTTTCCTTCCTGTATATCTGGGAATGCTACCATTTCGTTCTTGGTTGACTATGCCATGATGCCAAATTTTCATAATTCCTTAACGTTTACTTTTGGAGAATCGGCCCTCGAATCTCTTCGTTGGATACGTTCTAGTTGAAATTGTATATACTTATAGGATTATACATTACCCAATAGTCCAATATAGAGTTTTATCTTTGAGGTATAACGACGTCTCGTTGCTGGAAAGGATACATACATGTACAGTATAAATATGTACCTCTTCAAGTTTCTTGTTTTTTCAGCTATACGCGATTTCGTGGTGTGTGGATCTTCCCTCTAAAATTGGCCATCTAGAGGTGCTGATACTGCTGACGTCTTGCATTTGCCACGACCTAGATCATCCAGGATACAATAATATCTACCAGATCAATGCTAAAACGGAACTGGCGATTAGGTATGTATAACCATTTATGTTGCAAGTGTTTGCATTATTACATAGAAGAATAAAATAACGTACACGATGTCCCAAGATGAACTGTCAGAATCCATGTTTGAAAATGATGAAATATTGCCCTCATGAGAAATGTGATGAGACCAATTTGATTCAAATGTTTTAAAAAATTTCGCAGTAGGTAGGTATGGCGCACACGATGAAATTTTAAATATAGGGCGTTTTATTTTTGACTTTTATTAGCTTTTGCAATTTAGATTTTATAGCGTCTTTTTGAACAACTTATAAAGGACAATTATAGCCAATTACAACCTGTAAATGACAATTATAGCAAATTGTACCTTGTACCTGACAATTATAGCTAATTGTACCTTGTACCTGACAATTATAGCTAATTGCAACTGCAACTGACAATTATAGCTAATTGCAACTGTATCTAAGAATTATAGCTATTTGCAACTGTAACGATAATTACAGCTAATTGCAACTGTAACTGACAATCATAGCTAATTACAAATTGAAAATGACAATTATAGCTAATTGCAGCTTTAACTAAGAATTATAGCTGTTTGCAACTGTAACTATAATTATAGCTAATTGCAATTGTAACTGACAATTATAACTAATTGCTACTTGTAAATGACAATTATAGCTAATTGCAACTGTTACTAAGAATTATAGCTAATTGCAACTGCAACTGACAATTATAGCTAATTGCAACTTATACCTGACAATTATAGCTAATCGCAACTGTAACTGGCAATTATAGCTGATTACATCTTGTAAATGACAATTACAGCTAATAGCAACTGTAGCTGAGAATTATAGCTATTGGCAACTGTAACTATAATTATAGCTAATTGCAACTGTAACTGACAATCATAGCTAATTGCAAATTGTAAATGACAATTATAGCTAATTGCAGCTTTAACTAAGAATTATAGCTATTTGCAACTGTAACTATAATTATAGCTAATTGCAACTGTAACTGACAATTATAGCTAATTGCGACTTGTAAATGACAATTTTAGCTAATTTGAACTGTAACTAAGAATTATAGCTATTTGCATCTGTAACTATAATTATAGCTAATTGCAACTTGTACCTGACAATTATAGCTACTTGTAACTGTAACTGACAATTATAGCTAATTGCAACTGCAACTGTCAATTATAGCCAGTTACAACCTGTAAATGGAAATTACAGCTAATTGTGACTGTAATTGACAATCACAACTAATGGCCAGTGTAGATAATTATTACAGGTTACAATAAATTATAGCTCATTTGTTTCTTGTAACTGACAATTATAGATAAAGTATATATTTTTCCGCGGATTTTTTTTAGTGCTTTCATAACAAAGAAGTCGTATGAAAAAAATGACAAAGGCTTCAATTGGCGAAAAATCGTTTATAATAATAATTTTTTTCCGTATAATTGGGGATGCTACAATTTCAGTATTAGTTAACTAAGCCAAATTTTATTAATTCGCTTACTTTCGGAGAAATCGTCTCATCGTAGGACACGTTGTATTTGAAATTATGTAGTTATAGGATTATACATTACCCAATAACCCAATATAGGGTTTTATCCTTAAGGTATAACGACATCTCGCCGCTGGAAAACCATCATTGCAGCGTCGCCTTCAGGATATTAGAGAACGAGGATTGCAATATATTCAAATCGTTCAGTAGCGAAGAGTTTAAAGTAGTACGAGAAGGCATGATACGTTCGATATTGGCTACAGATATGGCCAGACACAACGAGATACTCACCAACTTCAAAGAAATCTTGCCCAATTTCAACTATGACGACAAGGGACACGTTAATTTGGTAAGTATTAACAATATTTTTTGAATTACGCCTTGATTTTGACCTTGGTCAAGTTTAAAATTTCAAATGTAAAGATCCCTCAAGGTCAAACTACCACTAATGCTGGATATCGATAACTCGAATGCTTTTTAGGGGAAAATGCTTTAAATAAAAGTTGAAGGATTTATCCTCAGCTAACAGAAAGTGACCTTGGATTTAATCTTGACCTTTATCTTGAAGGTCATTTGAAGGTCAGCTTCAAACTTCTAAGCTTAAGGTTCTTTTTTTGACGTTTTAGAGGCACATGATCATTATCGAACAAATTTTTGTGGGAGTTGAAACTTGGGGTTGAGAGTTGCAGGGGATAGGGGATTGTGAGTGTAATGTCTTTAGTATTGATCAAAGACGTTCTATCATTAAGAATTTTCTGATCTCAGTAACAACGGTAAAATTTAATTATAAAAGTCGGACATGTAATTGGAAGTAACTTGGCAATCGGTGGCGTCTGGAAGCCACTGCCGACTGTGCATTGCCAACTGGTCTGCGGTGGTGTCGTCACTGACACACCTCTACAGGAAAAATACTTTTTATTTTACTGAATAATGAATCGAATTTTTTATAACTATGCATATATTATACTTAGTTTTAGGATCGTTGATTTCTCCTAACCTTCAATTTGTGTTGCTTCGTCTATGATGGTTCTCTGAATATTTCGTCAAGTAGATTGACTCAGTACTTTTGACGGATTGATATACAACAAACCGACGTAAATGAGAAACATGGACTCATATCTTTAAGCAACAGAATACTTGTGAACCGAAGTCTACCGAATTTCACATAACTGGTATGTTTCAGCTGTGCATGGTGCTGATCAAGGTTTCCGATATCTCGAACGAAGCGCGACCGATGGAAGTAGCAGAGCCTTGGCTGGACAAGCTGCTGCAAGAGTTCTTCAAACAGAGCGATGCCGAAAAATTGGAAGGACTACCCGTCACGCCTTTCATGGACAGAGACAAGATCACGAAACCGTCCTCCCAGTGCTCCTTCATAGGATTCGTGCTGTTGCCACTGTTCGAAGCGTTAGGAGAACTGTTTGAGGAGCTGCAGGTAATATTTATGGCTATACTGCAATTAAGAACTACATATACCCGAGGTTCCGCTCTATCACATTTATTTGATCTCAAAACGACCTTGGAGGTCATGGACAAGGATATATTTGAAAATAGGTGTTTTCCGTTAAAAATTCATTTGGTCTTAAATTGACCTTGATGGTCATTGTCAAGGTCATGGACATGCTTGTACATAATGGTTCTTAGTCTCTTTATTTCCGGTATCAAAAAGAAAACTGACTTGACCTTCAAATGACGTCGAAGGTCATAGTCAAGGTCAGTTCAAGGTCAACGTTGGATTAGCCTTTTCAAGTTTTTCACAATATTTTTCGTTATAAAACGTATTGTTGGAGATATTTTATTTCTACTGTCATGTCATGCTCAAGTTTTTTTTCATGACTTGCTATTATTTACAAAAGAAAAACAAATGATTTTTAATAAATAAACTTTTAGATAAATGTAGATAATGTCCGATCGTTTACGTAAATGATGCGATAATAATATTGTTTTACAGGATTTAATCGTGCAGCCAGTCAGAGAAGCCTTGGACTATTACAGGCGACTGAATGAAGCTAACAAGGAGGAAAGGATGCACCGAAAAAGTATTGTGGAACTGGAGCAGCATTCAGCAACGCACAGTCCAGACTCTGGAAAAGGTGGCGCTCAGTCGAAAAATATGAGAAAAAGCCTTAGTTTCCAGACGAGATCCAGGTAAGTGGATTAATAAAAACTAGCTCATATGTGGTTATAACCTCATGATCTGTCATTTTACATAAAGAAGCTTGATTGTGATCACTGTCTGATACTTTATCAGAGCTACTAACTGCTTGCAATGACGTCTCACCCAAATAGACCCTGCAAGTCATTCGTAAGGCCGCCGTTTGTTATGTTCGCGAACCTCAGTGGCGGGAAATACTAACTTTCATTCATAATTTTATAAAATTGGCCCCAGGCTTGGAACAGCAAAACGCTCAAGGTCAACTACGGAATTCCCACCACAGGCGTATCACAATGTGGGCCATAAAGGTCTATAAAAGCCAATAAAGTACTCAGTATATGGGAGGTACAAAAAACAATTATTAAGGTGACCATACGTCCCACTTTCGGACTCTGTCCTACTATTCCAGACATAAAAATGTCCCTCTTTTCGGTCGTGGTGTCTCCAACAAAAAGCATGGGAACGAAAAATATCCTACTTTTCCAAACCATACGGAATACGTAAAATTTTCGAACGACATTGTTAGCAACCCGCCTCCACTCCCCCCGCTCCACAAACTACTAATCATCGGCCATCAATGCAAAAAATGAAGTGTGTTTACATATTGTGCTTTCATTTTATGGTTGTAAACAAAAACAGCAAAATTTGTGCCTTTTGTGGTAGGTACTAGACCCCAACCTAGACGTAATAAAACACAGTAAATACCTACTTAAGAAAATCTTATTTGATGGTTTACATATTTTATATGGAGATCAATCGATGCAAATAAAAAAAGCTTGAGAATTGTTCCTACGAATTGACATACATGTAGATAAACCGAAGTCCTGTACTCCCCCCCCCCCCTCTCCACGCTCTTCAGTGTGGTTCCCGGAAATTGTAAATAAAGCAAAATCCCTTACACTCCCCAAGGTCAAAAGTAACTTATGTGCTATTCCAGACTATAATCTATTTCTGAAACCAATTTCTTCCATATCCGTTCAGCCATTTTGGCGTAACTGAGTACACATCCGTTTGTTCGCATTTACGCTATTATGATTAGCAGGATACGTTCCATCTGCTCCATATAAGAATTTTACCATAAAATGATCTCAGTTGGCCGTGGCGGAAATCGAACGAACAGCTGAGGGTGTCAGGTTGACATTTCGCCGCGTCATGGCCAACTGAGATTTGAGCAGTTTTTGGCTGTAACTCTTGAAATAGATATTTCGAAGTTCTTTCCCGGGGTAAAATGTAAGCCTATATGTTATTCCAGGCTGTAATCTATCTGTGTGTCAAGTTTCATTCAGATCCGTTCATCCATTCTGGCCTGATGGAGGAACAAACATACATCCATCCACCCATACTTTCGCATTTATGATAGTAGGATATACAGGGTGACTTTGAAGTTGAGTCATTAATTTTCAGATAATGATTGTAGAAGGAAGATAAACCAAAATATGTGTGTAAAAATAAAAAAAAATTAAAAAAAATGTTTACCTTGTTTTATAAAGTATCCTCCCGACAAGTATTTCAGTGCGGACCTGTATTTGATCGTGAGGTCTTGGAGCACCAGCATGCCGTCCCCATGTGAGGTCTTAAGTCACCTGATTCACGAGCCCGTTGTACTACATTAACAAGGGCACGAGGGGTTGGTTGCACTCGATTGGGAAACCGATCCGCGTAAACATGTGCCATTTTTTATTTCGTTTGAGCCACGCAACAGACACCACTATTCACTCACGCGTTACCGACTGACACTGACTGTATACAACTGAATGAAATAATTGTAAAAACATCGTTCTTCCAAATTCTTTCGCTTTTTTGTTTCCGATGCGATGAACCGTTATGGCGGATTATATCCGTTGTTGCCAAACACGAGCACATAATATTATTATTGAGACAGGGCAGTACTCAAACTTCCAGAGGGCTATAACTTTGTTACTTTAATTTTACCAGAAAAATGGTAAAGGAAAAAAACATTTCTTATGATCAGATCTACTCACTGTTAAAATAAATGACTCAACTTCGAAGTCACCCTGTATACAGGGTGTCCGCAAAGTTGGGGTTTTCCTTTTCAGAAACAACTACCCTTGAAATAACAAAGATAATGTGTAGTGAAACGAGGGCGACCAAGTAAAAAAAATAAAGGAAAAAGTACTCACTCTCCAGTTGACGAGAAGGGCTAAGTACGTCCCTGCCCGAAATCATACCGCTCCAACAGAAAATGAAATCAGCTGATGCGTTACCGAGCAGACGCAGAAACCACATTGATTGTCTTACACTTAATGCCACATCTTCTAACAAGGAAGGCAAAATGTTGCGTAGGTATTGCATCCCGTCCAATCGATTTGGGAGAATAAATGGTCCAATGAGCATACCGTTCACCATGCCAGCCCAAACATTCACCGAAAATGTTTGTTGAAAATGTGCCCGACGGACAGCGTGCGGATTTTCCACTGACCAAACATGAGTGTTGCGAAAGTTATTCACCCCATTACGCGTGAACGTAGATTCGTCTGTCACCAATATGCACTTCAAAAAGTCCGGATTATTGTCATGTTGATGCAACAACCACTCACAAAACCGCACTCTTGCTGGAAAATCGTCAGGTTGAAGGGCTTGTACACGTTGGACGTGAAACGGATACAGCCCCTCTTCACGCAGCGTTTGCCACACTTTAGTTTTTGATACTTGCACTTCTCTAGCCACGTCTCTAGTGCTTGGTGAGGGATTCTCGTCTACGCGATTACCTCTACACGCGTGACCGTAACCGTCGGTTGAAGGTTGCATACTGACCTGACACACTGACCCCGACCCAGTTCTGTCGTCGGGTTGAGCCAGTGACCTTGTACCAGTCGGTGATGTCGCGGCTACAGGACGGTATTCAGATATTTTTGATGTTGCAGAGCCCTTTATCTCGGTTCCCTTAAGACATTGTTGTATATGGTACTCAGAAGAATTGCTTATGTTTTCAAGATCTACACGTCGTGTAAAGGAAAACCCCAACTTTGCGGAAACCCTGTATATATATATGCAATGGGTAATTAACTATAAATATACAAAACCTCAGAAAACAACTTGTGAGTTTTTCGCGCGGTTGAGCCGTGGTCGGGTTGGATTTGGTCCACAGCTAACCTAAATTACATTAGAATTAGCTGTGAAAGCCTTCGTTCTTCGATTATAAAAAGTTGTTGACAAAAAACAGGAAGCATAGCATGTTCCCTACATGCAAAATATAAACACCTACGAAACATTGTTAAAAGTTCTCAATTATTCATATTTATTTAACAAGATATAAGTGAGATGAATTAGTTAATGCTCCAATGGTAATTCATTAGGAAAAGGAATCAATATATGGCGGTCTAGCAAAGATCAGAAAACAGAAACACAGTCAATTACCGTAAAATCATTTATGGGGTGTATTGCAAAATATCTTTGTCGATTTTAAAATTAATCTGTGATGATTGTAACTAATGGTGAATAAAACAGTTTTAGTGTAAATGCTCCTTGGTTTCACTTTTTTTGGACGCTTCGTAATGAAGCCTAACCTGAAAATATTTTTTAAGTAGTTTATTGCATGGCCATTTAATGGGTCGTCCTCAAAAAGATGATCTCCAAAATAATCGACTACCTTGGTGGGTATCACTCGATATGTTCCATTAACTAACGGTGTTATTAGATTTCTTATTGTTTTATTATGTATGCCTGTCGTTTTGTCAAAAAAATCTAAAGTATTTTTTACCTTCTTTACACATGTAAAAAAATATAAAATACGGAGTGGATCGGGAAAATGACGCACGCCACGTCGATGAGTAGAATCGTAAACATAACCTAACCTGTGAAAAGATATCCCTTCACTTCCTGCTTTGTCAGCCTCAACCTTACACAAAAAACACTTTTAACTCACCATAATATAATAAAAGTCTAAAGAAAACTTAAAAATACAAGAAAATCAAACGTATAGCTCACGGATTAAATCGAATTTCAAACAAAATAAAATGACAGGCGATGACTCGCTCTACTACAACCAAGTGCAGCGTTGCCGTATATAAACTTTAATCACAAATATGCAGAAAATACTCTACTACTACAAATATTCTACCTCGATTTGTAGTAAAATTCGCGTTTTCTTCACTTGTTAACTGAGATACAATAACATCAGGAGTTCCTCAAGGTTCTGTTTTAGGACCGTTGTTATTCATTATACACACAGCTGATATCTTGAAATCCATACAGTACTCACACATTCAATCTTATGCTGATGACACGCAGCTTGTGTTTCATTTTGAACCATCCCTTGTGGAACAGGCAAATGATTTAATCAACACTGACTTACGAACAGTATCTGACAATTCTAAAGAACACAATTTGAAACTATATCCTGATAAAACGAAACTTGTGTTTTTCTGTTCTGATCACAAGCGAGAAAACTTGAGCAGTGGTCTTCTTGAATGAACAACAACTTTATTTTTCAACTAGCTGTAACATACTTGGTTTGATCATAGATGATAAGTTACGTTACTAACAATATATTAAAACAATATCTCAGAGGTATTATTTGAAACTGCGAGTACCGCATACTTTCTCTTCTATCCCAAACCAATTAGATCTGATGCTCTTTGTCTATGTCGTCTATTATTATAAGCAAGATTGATATTTAGCAGTCCCAAAAGTAGTCAGTAACATATTGTACATATTTGTAATATGCACTTCTGTAGTTTCCTCATACTTTTTCTTCCGCCATTATCAACTAACAATGCTAGAAATCGTCTCTGAATTGCACTGTTGCATGGTTTATGAGATGTTCCTATAGATACTGACTAAAATAATCGACTACCTTGGTGGGTATCACTCTATATGTTCCATTAACTAAAAGTGTTATTAGATTTCTTATTGTTTTATTATGTATGCCTGTCGTTTTGTCAAAAAATCTAAAGTATTTTTGACCTTCTTTACACATGTAAAAAATATAAAATACGGAGTGGATCGGGAAAATGACGCACGCCACGCCGAC